CCCCCCCCGCCCTTTTAAAGTGGGCCTTGTGGTGGTGTTTTTTTTTTTTTTTTTTTTTTTTTTTTTTTACCACGTCTTTCTGTCAGTAACCCTGCTGCTTTGGCAGCTTGCCTCAATTCACATGAATAAGGGCACTTATTCACTCTGCACACATGGCAGGACTCGGCTTCTGAATGCACTCCAACTTCCTGGGCCTCTCTGTAGGACTGAGCACCAAATCACTGCTAAGCTCCTGATAAACATATAGGCTGTTTAAATATGAATAGATGCTCACAGGTCGGACAAGATGAATAAGGGCTGAACATTCATTGGGAATCGTTGGGAACAGAGCATATATAAATGGAAACTTTGGATGTTTACGTACGCTGCAAAAATAATAATAAAAAAAAAAAAACTAACTTTTTTTCACTTTGGATGTTCTATCAATCATTGGATGTTCGCCCTGGACAGGTCACCAGTCGACTGGCCCTTTTCACGCAGCACACGCTCGGCGCGACTCGACTCATTTCCACTCGCAACCTTCACGTGGTACGGGCCCTTTTCGGCTCCGACTTCTCTGGGGTCCCAAATTCTGACTGAGAACACGACGACAGAACACTGCTGGTCACTGATTGGTGGAGTCACTGGTTGGACCACAAGATGATGAAATTTAATCTAAAAAGTGACAATGTTCAACTCCAACAGGAATGTCACCATTTGATGTGCTGCACCAGAGTTAAGCTAATTCACATCTGATTCCCCTGACTCCACAAAAATGGATAGAAGAGAGAAAACACAACACTACAAGTCGCTTTCTAATCACAACACACACACACACACACACACACACACACACACACAGTCATCTAGTTAATGTTCACATTCCTGAGTAGTTTTTAACAATATCTTAAAAACAAACAAACAAAAATCTGAGAGCTGCAGCGCCTCAAGAAAAACTCTCACAGTAATGCGAGGCTGGCCAATATGACTGAAAACATGTCATGATGGAAGCATTTCTTATCAGCCAATATTGACAATTATTGATTCAGTTTTTGTGTCAAATATCCAAAGTGCTGCCAAATTAGAGACGTGACCTTCCCTCTTTTATCCACAAATCCCACCACAGTGATTTATTAAAATGCCACAATATAGATTCTTTAGATTATTTTCTTAAACTTTACTCAAATACAGAAGTTTATGTACATTTTCTTAGTATTTAATCTTTTGAACAGGTTCCTTATGCCATCTATTTGCCTGCTATGACAGGTGATGTTTTTGTTGTTTTTGTTTTGGTTTTGTGCACATTGAAAGCATTACGTCGTGGACTTAAAAAGATCTTAGAATCTCCTTAAGGTCAGATTTTTAGTTTGTCCTAATGTGTGAAATCTTAAACTGAAACAGGTGTGTTTTCTTTTTTCTTTTTTTTTCTATAGATTTTTGTCCACCACCTTTAAGAGTGCTGAGCTAACTGTCATCATTTTACTCTCCACCTTTTATGTTGCTGACGTTTCTTTTTTGCTTCTAACCAGCCCGTTGTCTGTTTTTGGATGTGTAGTGTGGGTCTTTGTCTTTTACAAGGTCAAACGGCAAACAGAGAAAGAATCTCAGCTTCAGGATGAGCCTGCTTTATGGGTTTAAAGTTCTGGTTTCAGTGCTAAATGCTCCTGTATGCAGGCTGGTGTAACGCCACGCCTCCCATCCCCAACCCGTTGCTGTGCACAGCCACTCAGCGCTTTGAGAGTTTCCCCACAGTCGTCTTACTCTGTTCAGATCAGAACGGCTAACTGACAGTGACGGTCTATTTAAAAAAAAAGAAAAGAAAAAAAGAAAATTACATTAAATACTTGATCTACAGGCTTTAACCTATTTTTATTTTACATATAATAGTTATAACAGTGAATATGTATCATTTTTGCAGCAATAGGAACAGCTGTGGGGTTTGTCTTTTTAATGAAATAAATTACATCTTGTTATAAAGTTTTGCTTTAAACGAACTGTAACCCCTGATATGCGGTTTTGAGTTTAATAAAAAGATTTTGGGTTTAGAAGTCGTTCTCACCGCTGATATTAATTTGCTTGAATTTCTATCAGGTTATTCCTCTTCACTTGTCAACAGCACAACGGAAAACATCAGTGATTCCACTGAACCTGAAAAAGCTCAAAGTTAAATGAACATGAATTATTCTAAGCTGATGCAACACACGTCATGAGTCCTTTAAGGCTTTCCTTCCTGCTGCGGTTCTGGACCGGACCGGCCGGCCGGACGCAGGGTCCGAAAGGGGCCTGTGGCCCTCTCAAAGCCGGCTGAATAAAGAAGGGAGAAAAGGAGGGAAGCTTCCGCCGGCAGCTGTATCCCCACACACATTAAGGGTCCCTGTGAAGGACACACACTCACACATCAGCCTTTCTTCATTAGATCATCCAGAGCTTAGAAATCCCTCAAGAAACACAATCAACGGATTATTGACCTGTAAACAGCTTTCCTAATCCATCTGGTGGTTAGAATTAGGGAACTTTCCCCTCCTGACTGTATGTTTGTGGACCACCTGTTTCCTGCATTCGCTTAATTCTCCTGGATCTCCTTTCCATCCAGGCTCAACTTTTTCCACGATGTCCCAGATTTCCGGGTGCTGGCCTGCGGAGGTGACGGTACAGTGGGCTGGATCCTCGACTGCATCGGTACTGAACATCTAACCTCTGGACTTAAGATGCCAATGTGTTTTGAGAGGAAACGTTCAGCATTAGGCCTCCTCTGAAGGCAATAATCTCATTTTTGCTGCTGGCATTACAGATGAGATTAAAATAGTTTTGCCACTGTGGAATAATAATCCATCAGGGCAGGAAGCTCCGTCAGTGTTTCGACCTTATCTTTGTGTGCTTTTAGCCTACATCGTTTTTACAGTCCTGGTCGATTCATGGAGGGGTGATTAAATTACAAAATAATTACTGTAACTTTAGTTGGTTTTTTTTTTTAAAGGTTTTACTTTCATCACTCGCAACACAGTTTGACTTGTCTTCATCCTGGTTACAGATAAGGCTAATTTTACCAGATACCCTCCAGTGGCCATCCTCCCTCTGGGCACAGGAAATGACCTGGCACGATGTTTACACTGGGGAGGAGGTGAGAACTTCCTCAGACTCTGTCATTACTGTAATGTAGCGATATCTCCATGCTGGAGTTCGTTTTTAAGTCGTATTTGATATACACATCATTTTCATAACAACTGAAGGTAATGTAGTTACTTGATTGTGCTATAAAATGGCACCATGTGCCTGGAAAACGCATTACTGCCTCAAGTGCATTGTTTAATAACTAGAGTCATTTCTGAATGTGGAACGAAATGGGTTCTTTGGTGAGTCCTTTGAGATGATGCATGCAGTAAATTGGTGTTATACTAAATAAACTGAACTGAATTCAGTCGTATCTACCAGGTTAGGTCTGTCACACACATAGTGTACTGTTTTCTCCACTAAAAACTAGCTGCTTATCCTCACATGCTGCTCAGCCTGATCTGCCTTCAACCTTGGAAGCTGCTGAAAGATGATCCATTCAGCTGAGCTCCTCAGTCCCCTGGAACTGTGAAGCTTAATAACAACATTTTCATAAGGCTGAGTAAGAGCTGGGCTCATCTTCCCAGCAGCAACAATAAAGTAGTCACCACCAAGCTTTCATATTTTAACAAGGTCATGGTTCTGTGATTAATCAACACAAGGCAATGAATTTACAGTACAAGTGCTTTGTGTGTGTGAAGTTTTTAATTTAGCCATAACAGCTCCCACTTTCAACTTTTTCATTTCCTGGAATCGTGTTCTGAAGCCTTTCTAGAAACTGCTGTCAGTCTGGGAAATGTTTCCCTCATCAGGAACATCAGAAAAGTAAGAACAAATATGTGCCCCCATACATAGTTCTTCCGTTTTTACTTGTTTCAGATCATCTAGCAAATTCTGCAGCAATAAATCAATTCTACGTTAACCTGGGTTATTTAGGAGAAAATCCTTACCTCAATGGCTTTGAAGAACAGATATTTACAGACACTGAATAGAAAGACTGTCTGAAGTAAACTCAGGCCAGACATTTCTTGTTTTAGCTTAGATAGAATTAACAAAATAATTTTTATTTGCTAAATGCTAGAAAACCTGGTGAGAGAAGTGATTACGCAGTATGGACTGATGCGCACATATTTTGTCCTCTTTTATCAGTACCTCAGTAAGCTGGCACTGTTTTGACTGTTTTGTTTTTATTTATTTATTTATTTTTTACTCTATTATTTTTTTGCTTTTTTTTTTTTTTTTTTTGTCTGTCTTGGTTGTTTAATTATAAATAAATGTATATAAAAAAAGTTTTTGGATTTTTTTTTTTTACTTGAACTCGAATGTTTACAGACATTGGTCAGTACTGTCTTTTTGTTAATTTATGGCTTGGGTCAAACCTTTTAGGTTCTCACAATAGTTTGCTGAACTGACTGACTGATGTACTTGCATTGCCCAAATTTTTATTTTATTATTATACAAGTGTTGCTTTTCTACCGGACTATCATTTAGTTGTGTTTTTCTTTCCCTTTCACCCTGTGTGGCTGTCCTGGCAGGCTATGAAGGCGGCAACCTGATGACAATCTTGAAGAACATTGAACACAGCACCAAGGTGGTACTGGACCGCTGGAACATCAACATCGTTCCTGATGACAAGGAGGAGAAGGGCGACCCCGTCCCTTACAGCATCATCAACAACTACTTCTCTGTGGGAGTGGTAAGGCAGATTTTAGTTCTGCTGCACATTTTCTGTGTCCTGTTTGTGCCGTAATCATCCCATGTGTTCATACTTTAGTATGCTGGATAATAAGTTGATGTTTCTGAAAAGCATAAAAAGCAATGGTGATATTCTTGGCTGTGCAACAACACATAAACTAAGTTTCGAACGCAACTTTCTTTTCCTTTTCCAATTAGAAAAGTGAGATCAAATTCACACCCACTGATAACAAGTCAAGTAACCAATGAGTACAAAAAGATCAAGCCAAATTATCTGACATTTCTTCGGGAGAAAAAAACTTCTAAAGTACTGGAGACCTGGATGTTCAGTGAGCCATAGAAATCCAGGAAGTATTTAGAAACAATTCCTGCTGCTGTGTGCAGGTCAAAATCAACTAGTCTGATATGAACCTGTGGCCTATTAAAAAAGGGTTATGTTAACAAGATATTGCACGCTGGCATAATTGGTAAAAGTAAATAGACCTTCACAGATATTATTATTACTTTAACAAAAGAAATTGATATAAATGGTTGCAGTTGCATTTGGAACTTGAATGTTTCAGTGTTTGCGTTTCTGTTGCAAAACCTGGAATTATGAAAACAAATTTACTTAATGGAAACAGCAATTTCAAAACAACTCACGTTTTTTGATTAAAAAAAAGGTTTTGCGCTAGGATGAGGTGGCTTTTCAGCTGTATGTTTTGAAAATTTCAATTTTCAAATACAACAAATGAAAAACTTTTTTGCATCACATGGTCAACAGCTGGGGGTTACTACTGGCAAAAACGACAAAGATGACAGGAAGTGGTAGGAGGACTTAGCGACTTAGCAGGTGAACAAACCTGCATTCATGTGTGATTTTAACTGAATTTGATTTTTGATGGAAACAGCAATCGCAAAATTAATTTTTTTGCATGAGCAGAATATTGACAAAGTTTTGCTTGTAATGGTATTGCAGCTACTTAGTGCTGCTGGGAGTCATAATCTGGAAGAGTCAACATCGTTTCTACCAAAACCAGCAGCAGCCTGGGGCATGTTGTAAGCCGACTGAGAAAGGAGTCACAAAAAGAATGAAGAACTGTCCAAGAACCAAGGAGCAGTCTAAGAGAGCTTAAGAAAGACACAGCAGATGCTGTTCTTCCTCTGAAATGCAGTCAGCTGCTATGAACGCTAAGCACACTCACTGAACGTCCCTGGATGTTTCTCCAAAGCCCGACTGGACTGGTCAGAATGAGGAAAACTCTTCTAAACTCTGGAAAAGCTTCTGCAGTGATACGACACTTGGCTCAACAGAAATATGTTGTTGGAAACACTGATTTGAACCCTGGCAAACGTCTCTGGATGCAGTTTGATCTTGTCGTGAAAACTTCAGTTAAAACTTTGTGAGACGGATGATTTGATCTGTGTGGACGCACACAATTAGTTGAATCGTCTGTTGGTTTCTGCTTCCTCTGGGGCATGTTTGATCCCTTAATTGGAGGAAAAGAGCCTGCTGCCAGGTGACAGTTGCTTAGCAACCATTTTATGCCGTCTTAGAGATGCTTTACTGGGGCCTCGGGGACATTTATGCAGGTGACAAACAAGGTGCTTATGAAGTTATCGCAGCACAGCTCTGCTCTTTTAGCCCCACTAGCTGCACAGGCCAGAGGAAGTGACTGGTTACGGTCTTGGTGGGTAGGTTCTAGGTTTTCTTAATCAAACATTTTTCCTTCTTTTGTCTTCATTACTCTTGGCTGTATTTAAGGTGTTGTCTCTGCTTTGTCAGTCAGTTTTCAGAGTTATACCTAACATCAAGTTCTGAAGTTCTGCTGTTCTTTAGCAAACAACATGCTGGACTGATCATTTAAGCTTTACATGCTATAAGGGGTTTTTAGAGCCCCAGCTTTGGCGCGGTGGCACCTTTCATTCCTTGAGATGTGTCCAAACTGTTCACATGAGGTTCTCCTAAAAGCCTATCTGCTTTTAACATTTACATGCAGTAGAGAGTAACTCTGTCGATGTCTTCATTTAGTATAAATCTTAGGCTGCAGTTGGCTAAAGCGAAGGGGCGCAGTTGGCGGACGTCTACCAAATCACAACAGAACCTGAATTATTTACAAAGGAAATGGAATTAGGAGACAATGCACCTTCAATGAAACACACTGTGAGAACAGCACATGTAAAGACTTATGCTGAAAAATAATTTTAAAAAATAAAAAACTTTGAAGGTCTTTGCTCACCTCTTTTCTAGGTTCCCCACCTCTTTGTAACCCCAGATCAGGCCCCGGGTTACAGTTCAACTCTTAAGCCCAAGATACAGATGCATCTCAACAAAATTAGATCATCATCAAGAAGTTCATGTGCTTCACCAATTCAGCAAAGTGAAACTCTTATAAGAGTTCACAGCATGCCCTTTGGTAGGTTGCACTTCGTGAGTCGTCGCAGAAAGTGACGTCTCTGCTGTGCTTCCAGGCCGTTTCTGTGTGAGGACCAGCTCAGCTTCAGAGCAAGGTTGATTCCTGTGAACCACAAGCGATCCACAGTGGACACCGTGTTGCTGAGAGTAGTGAGGAGACTCCAGGGTGGGGGGGTCGTTCTCCTGAAGTCCGTCATCACGTCTGCAGTCTTGGGCAGGTTAATCCCCAAGGGGTTCTGACCACACAAGTGGACCATGCTGTCTGGGTGCAGACTTGATGTTGTCATGGATCACACCAATGACCAGTGGTGGACACCACTAGCTAAAAAGTTAGTTGCACTAAAGCTGAATCACTATATCAATATGATATTTAAGGCCGACTTTAAACCATGTTCATACCAACCACATGAGAAAACATGTTTCTACTTAGTATGTCGTCCTCAACAGAACCAGATTAGTGATGGATGCCTACCTGTACGGTTTGTGGAATTCCTGGTTACTGGCAATGACAACTGAGTAAACAGGAGGTTCACACACACGCACGCACACACACACACACACACACACACACACACATACACACAGGTCTGCCAAGTTTCAGTCTTCTGTGTAGAGAGAGATGAGTTGGGACAGAACACACCACTGGGGGGCGCTGGTTTGGATGGTTCTGGTGCCTGACCATTACCATTTCTGTTAAATGAGAAATGCAATTAAAATCATACGCGAATAAGCTTGTTCACGCGGTAAATCATTAGAAAACATACGACACTGTGATCCTCCAACTAGTTCCTGTTGTCGTCTTCTTTGTGGTTTGTGTCAGTGGCAACATCATGTTGTTGATCATGTGACTTGTATGATGCGAATAAAATGTTTGCATTGCAGTTTTGCAAAATAAACCAATTTCCATATGGACAACAAAGCACCTCATCCTAGAGCCAAAGTTTTTTTTGTTTTGTTTTTTTTATCAAAAAAAAACTATTTTTTATATATTTTTTAAATTAGCAGGCTTCCAGATGAATTTATTTTCAAAATGTCAAATTGTCCAATTATATGATCGATGGAAAAGCAGCTTCAGCGCCACCAACTAAGAACTCAGGGAAGTAATCGTGACAATGAGAAATTAACAAGAAATACCTTTTGATATTTATTAGTTATTGAACTTTAGAGAAAGTGACTGAGCGGTGGCAAACAGCAGAACAAACACCAAAACACGATGCGGAGTCGAGAGCGAGGCACTGCGGCTGGGTGGGACTGACGCTCATTTAGGTCTGTGTGTAACTCTAACCTTGTGTGGATTCGAGAAAAACTTTGTTTATGGAGAATCAGGATTGTTTAATATGACAAGTATTTCCTGTGTAGCCACGTTCTGACACAAAGGAGCTTATGTCATTGTGTGTGAGCATGTTTTGTTTCTACCCAAACCTGATCCAAGGAGCCGGGAGAAGCCGTGCAGTTTGATTTGGGTTTATTCTGACTCAGCCTCACAATCATCTTCCCACTAATCTGCTGCTTAGGCAGTCACAGTGATGTAGGCTCACACAAACAAACAACATATTTGTGTCCCAATTTTTTTATTTTTTTTAAAAAATGATCTCAAAATAATGAGAACATGTGAAACGGGGACCAGAGCATTGCTGGATTGGGTCTGTTCAGAGGACAGTTTGACGTGAGGAAGTGCTGACTTGTGGGTTTAATGTAAAGGTTTTCTGCGCGAGGCTGCATGCCCACTTTGACTGTGCCGAACTTGGCGACAGATTGCTGACCCTCCAGGAGCCGCTGTGACAGATGGCTGAGAGTCTGTGTGCACACGGCACCTGAGCAAACCTGACTCTGACTCACATCGCTGATGGCGCCGTTACTAAGACCTCAAATCTGCTTCGCAAACCATACAAGGCCTGTGTTTCCTGCCGTCCCATCCCAGACCTTGCTGCTCGGGCTTTTGGTTGCCACAGCGACGGGAGGCTGGCAAGGCCGAATCTGAAAGCTTCCACAGTCATCTGTCCTTTATCTCACTGACTTAATTGTGGATGACACAGTGTGGAGCATGTGGCCGGCTCAGCTGAACCACTCAGAGCTGTAAATCAGAAGGTGAAGTATTTTATTTCAACCTTTGAATGCATCTTTCCAGAAAAAAAAAATCATTTTTTGGATCCTCCATATGTGACTTTCAAGTTTGTTACTACTTAGGAAAAAGCTTTAAGCTTCTCTAAACTTGCTTATGTCATCAATCATGGAGTTCATCTACTGTATTGGCAACCAGCACTGACTTTTCTAACTGGGGTTGCTTAGAGAGGTTATGAGTAGACAGGATCCAACCTTGTACATATCCTCCGTTAACAAGAACAGGTTCTTTGTTGGTGTAAGATGTGTTATCATAGTTAAAGTTGAAGGAATACAGCCAGTCCATCAAACCAGATGATACTGATTACTGGGTTTATGTGAACAAATTTAGAATTTAAAACATTGTGTTTGCTTGAAGAGGCAGTGTTATGTATTCACCAGGCACATAGTCATATATTAGCACAATCATGTAACTATGCTCCCTTCAGTGTTATAAAAATGCTGTCAAATGTGACTTAAAAGAAATTTTACTTCATAATTTAAACTCCTGCTCTTTCTGAAACTCCACCTTCAGGAAGTCATTACAACATGGCTCCTCTGTTAACCCTTTAACAACATTTTTACCAGCATTACTCTGAGAAGTAGTTCAGAAAATGTGCAGTTCCACCAGGTGTTTGCTAGTTGCTTCTGGCTAGTCTGAAGGATCTGAATGGGGAAGCCTGCTCTGGGAGACAGAAGCTTGAAAGCTTGGAAACTGCAATTAAAACACCACTTCATGTTTTTACCTCAAATAAGACTTTCAAATATGCAACAGCATGTCAAGCTTATTTCACTCAAGTTCACATTCTTGTAGTAACAACTAAGCTTTCTTTGACAGACAGCTGACAGCTTACTGGACTACACTTCACAAGACAGACCTCACTTTGTAGAGAAATATTGGCACATTTCAATACCGCATCACCCCATGTTGAACAATAGACCCTGATTCAATACCATTCAAAAGTTCAATTCACAACTCGCATCACAACCTAGGTCAAGTTTTTTAACACCAAAAATATTTCTAAGCATCCAAATTTGTTTTTCTTGTAAGTGCAGGAAAAGTGCAGAAACCATATTTCAGCCAGCTGACCTGCAGCCGGTGGGGAGGAGCCATGATGCTCTACACTACATAGAGCAGAAAGGCTTTACATAATAAAAATGGTGGATTATGATTTTTTTTAAAAGGGGACCTATTATTAACAATTCACATCTTGCATGTTTTTGTACTTCCACTTGAGTTTCTAAAGAGCATAAGTGGTTAAAAAAAAACACTCAGCCTCATTTTGGAAATAAGTTAATGGTTTTTTTGGTACTGCTGTCACCTAGCAACCCGAGCTCCAGCACATTTGGTCAGCTGGTTTTACCACTGTATGGGCTGTACAGTGGCTGCAGGAAAAGATAAGAGTCTTGTCCTTGACTTACCATCAACAAACAACTTTCTGCAGTGTTGTTGGTGGTGCAGGAGGCTCCTCTTCTGCTTTTCAAACCTGTGCCGTTGAATGATTGCAGACTAAAATGTCATTTTCTAGGAACTACTGGACTACAAAACATGTTCAGTAATAAACATGTTTTGTAGCCAATAGACCTGTTTAGGTTTTCCCCTAATTAGTTCCACTCAACACACTTGTATCACTTCCTAAACACTTTGACTTCACCTTTGGCCTGGAAACTATCTGAGAGGAGGAATCAGGGAGAAGGAAATGACACCATGTCAGCAGCTATGATAGATGGCACCTCATGTTTCAGAGAGGAAGCTGACCCCAGGCTGTCAGTGTGTTTATATGTGCCTGTATGTCTCTGCTCCTTGCTGGATGTGTGATGCGCTATGCTGTGGGATCATTCCCAGTATTAATGACCAGTCTCTGCAGCCTTCCCTGACTTTGGCATGTTTGACTGGAGAACAGATATAAGGATGTTAAGTAGTCTGCTATTATAACATAAAAAGTCAGTGTTCCATATTCCAAACTGCAGAAACTGTACAGAGAGGTGCGTGTGTGTGCGTGTGTGTTTTTATGTGGTCCTGGCACCGACTGAAGGTCAGGGGAAGTATCAGTGACAGGAAGCCAGCTACTGCCAGGTTCAGGCCAGGTTACTGCCGTAATGAATGACCGTGCTGAGTGACACCTGGCTGGTTCTAAAGACATGAGGAGCAGCGTGCACATGCTTTGATGCACAACCTCACACACACATTAACACACAGCGAGAGAGGTGTTAAAAAGCAGAGAAAGCTGGCTGCAGCTCCTAAATATATTCCTATCAGGTAACTCTATATTATCAGGGACAGAGAGTGACCCCAATCTGTTTTTTTTCCCCCAGTCTTGGATTGTTTGCCTCAGTTTTGGTCTTGTGTTAGTCTGGTTTCACAAACTGGGTCAAGGCTGGTGCAACACTATAGTTTTTGTCAAAATTGCAAAAACTTTACTCCCTTAACAATCCAAGACCAAGGCCTAGCTCAAGACCAAGACTGGTCCTCCATCCGTGGTACATAGTGACATGCTCTTTTGCTTTTTATTAGCATTGATCTGATTGCTTCATACTAGGATACAGTAGATTGCCAAAAGTATTTGCTCACCCATCCAAATGATTGGAATCAGGTGTTCCAGTCACTTCCATGGCCACAGGTGTATAAGATGAAGCACCTACACATGCAGACTGTTTGTACAAACGTTTGTGAAAAATGGGTCACTCTCAGGAGCTCGGTGAATTCCAGCGTGGAACTGTGATAGGATGCCACCTGTGCAACAAATCCGTGAAATTTTCTCGCTCCTGAATATTACACTGTCAACTGTCAGCTGTGTTATGAGAAAATGGAAGTGTTTGGGAACGACAGCAAATCATCCACATAGTGGTAGGCCACTTAAACTGACAGAGCGAGGTCAGAAGATGCTAAAGCGCATAGTAAGAAGAGATTACCAACTTTCTGCAGGAGGTCACTATAGATCTCCAGACTTCATGTGATTAGCCCAGGAACAGTGTACAGAGAGTTTCATGAAATGGGTTTCCATGGTGACCAGCTGCATCCCAGCCATACATCACCAAATGCAAGACAAAGCATCGGATGCATTGTTGTAAAGCACGCTGCCACTGGACTCTAGAGCAGTGGAGGCGCGTTCTCTGAAGTTATGAATTGCGCTTCTCCATCTGGCAATCTGATGGATGAGTCTGGGTTTGGCGGTTGCCAGGACAACTGTACTTGTCTGACTGCATTGTGCTGAGTGCCAAGTTTGGTGGAGGGTGGATTATGGTGTGGGGTTGTTTTTCAAGAGCTTGCTTGGCCCCTTAGTTCCAGTGAACTTTGTGTGAACAGTTTGGAGCCGGCCCCTTCCTCTTCCAACATGGCTGTGCATCAGAGCACAACTCAAAGTCCATAAAGACATGGATGACAGAGTCTGGAGTGGATGAATGTGACTGGCCTGCAAAGAGTCCTGACCTCAACCCAATAGAACACCTTTGGGATGAATTAGAGGGGAGACTGATAGCTGGGCCTTCTCGTCCAACATCAGTATGTGACCTCTGGAAGAATGATCAAAAATCCTCATAAACAGCCTTCAACTCTTCTGGGACAGCCTTCCCAGAAGAGCTGAAGCTTTTCTAGCTGCAAATGGTGGACCAAGGTCATATTCAACCTTATAGATTAGGAATAGGATGTCATTTCAGCTCATATGCGAATCAAGGTGGGAGAGTCAATAGTTTGGCAATATAGTGTATCTTTTGAATCCCTACTTTGGGAGTTTCACTAAGCTAGTGTGCATTTCCAGCCATCCAGCCTGCCCACTTATCTGGGGTTGGGGTAACAGTCTAAGAAAGGAGGCCCAGTCTTCCCTCTCCCGAGCCACTTTTTCCAGCTCCTCCAGGAGAATCCCAAAGCGTTCCCAGGCCAGCTGAGAAACATAGTCCCTCCAGTGTGTCCTGGATCTTCCCCGGGTCCTCCTCTCGGTGGGACATACCCGGAACACCTCACCAGGGAGGCGTCAGGAGGCATCCTGACCAGATTCCCAAGCCACCTCAATTGGCTCCTCTCGACATGAAGGAGCAGTGGTTCTACTCTGAGTCCCTCCCAGATCACAGAGTTTCTCACTCTATCTCTAAGGGACAGCCCAGACACCCTACGAAGAATACTCAATTTGGCCGCTTGTGTCTGCAGCCTTGTTTTTTCGGTCATGACCCAAAGTCATGACCATAGATGCGGGTAGGAACGTAGATCAACCGGCAAATCGATAGCTTTGCTTTTTGACTCAGCTTTCTCTTCACCACATCAGACTGTTATTCTCTGTCTTAACTTTGTTTGCTGTATTGTTTTTATCCCTGCTTATTTTTATTAGCAGGGGAATCTGTACTGACACCCTGGCACCCTGCCTGCCTCTGCCGGTGTTTCACTTCTCTGCAACAAGAGGAATCAGAGTTGGCACAAGGCAGGTGGACGGGTGTGATGACACACATCTGTTTGTTCACGCTCACATCGGCGCTCTGCCTTGCTCTGATGCAAAGTGCTGAGATCTCACAGACATCGCATCTTAAAATAGAGTGTCATCTTCAGTTTAACTGGGACCAAATTTGATACTGGGTCCTGTGGCGAGAGTAGACATCACTGCAGGCTAACTTTAGGCACAGCTATCCATCTTAACACCTCGCTATTCTCAGGTCTCTTGCTTAGTTACTCAAGATTTCAGACACATCCAAACACCCTTTGATTAAAGGGATAGTGCTCACAAGCAGCAGATGAAGGTTTTCTTTATATTTGGTCTGAAGAGATGGACATATATCTGACGTTTAGGCAGAACCAGATGTTCTTGTTCATTGAGCGACATGAAGCAGTGACTCTGTGTGTTGCGGTGAAGTGGTCCCGCTCCATCACATGGGCCACATCCTGGAGTTACATCTGCATCAGCCTCATGATGTTGTCTGATATCCAGTGGATTTATAACTTACATCGAGTCCAGTGGTTGCTTATCAGTGAAAGGCAAATTACATCCTCAGGCCTGGGTGCAGCAAAAGCAGCTCTGGTCCAGCTCAGGGCCAATTAGGCCTGCTGGGTTCAGCTCACCCCATCCACTGTGAGCATGTCTGTGTCTCTGTTGCTTGACTTAGAAGATCACAGTGGATTCGGTTCTCTTCGCAATGAGTAAAGGTATCCTAGAACATCTGCTGAGTGACAACTCTTGTACTTTTTTTATGATTTTTTTTTTTTTTGGTTCATGCATTTTATTGCACCACTAGAAAATAACTTACGATGTATTCACACCCTCCCTGTTTAGTTCACTTTAATCAAACCCTAGTTTGTTTGTCTGGAAGGCCCGGTTTGTTTGTGGAGGTGTGAATGCACAATCTAGTTCTGATGCGGACCAATAGAGCAAACTGTGGTTTTCCTACAACCCAAGGTCTGGGTTTGGTTAACATGAAGTCTGGTGAGGTTAGAAGGAATATGTGAACGCCAAGCGGACCGGAGACCGCTCCAAAAGCGGGAAGGGGACTATAGAGAAGTGCATTTTGGGTAAATACAACCAAAACAAACGCAAGAGTCTAAATATAGAGGTACAAATGGCTTGTTACCAAAGATAAATAGAAATCCTACAACCACTAAAATCTGACGCTACCCTGTAGTCGTTTATATTTTGTGAAGAAGGAAGTTGCACTCTTCTTTGGAGGTTTTCATGCCCTTTCCTTCAGTAGTTCTTGGTGCAGTGCCCCCACTGGTGAGGGGGGAACAGGTTTTTTAAAGGGCTTGGTTTGTTTGACACGGTGCAGTGTGAAAAATGAACAGCTAAAAATGTGACAAATGTTGCAGTTTTAGTCACTAATCAAACCAAGTGTACCGGACTATCAGGTGTGATAATCCAGTCAGATGTGAGTTTTCACACTCCCTAATTGATCTACGATCATTTAGGTTAGTTTTCACACCTGATAGTCTGTGTCATGTGGTAGATATCAGCCGACTGGTGAGAGAAAAGGTAGATCTTGGTCTCAAAAAGTTTGGGCACCCCTGATCCAACTATTGGACGTCATTAAGGCCTTTGAAGAACCAAGGCTGTATCAAAGGATAATGTTAATTGTTGAAGTAGTAGGAGACTGGAGGTGTTTTCTCTTTGTGAGGTCAGTCTGAGGCTGCTCTGGTGACTCATCAGGCTCACATTCACCCCGGCCCCAGAGGTCAGAGGTTAGATCCTATTTGAGCTGCATTCAGACCAACCTCTGACCTTTAGCTGCTGCTTCTAAAACTCTGTCGTTGTCCACGTCTTAAACCCGTTAGGAGGAGTTCACCAGACCAATCATCTTCGATCAACTTTACAACAAAAATGCCACAATTTTTAGGGGTTTATTTATCTTTATGGTGAATAAAATCTTGATGGCTTCAAGAGGTTTTTCTGCTCAGCCTTGTTGCAAACATTTACTTATTAAACTGCCAGGAATTTTTCCAACTGGTTTATTTGTTATTTATTTGTGAACCACTAAGTGAAAATAACCAGAAACAGTTCTTAGTTTAAGTTCATGTTGATTAGATTAATTTGGTGCCTTTAATGATTTTTAAAATTTTCCGGAGCTGTGCCATTATACGACATATTTGGGTGCAAGTGGAATTGTTTTGTGGACTTTAATCCACACATGCTCAGAAATATACATGCAGACTCATATGTGAATGGAAACCCATATTAATTAATATCCAGTAGCAAGTTGCACGTTACCCATTGCTTCTGACGTTGATGTGAGTTTTCACATCAACATCAGAAGTGATGCTGCGGGATATTTCTCCACTCTTCTCGGGAGAATTGATAGAATTTATTTGTATTGTTTGGCAATGTCAAAACAATAAAATACTCTTCCAGCAAGCATTGTGTACAGCACTCAAGACTTCTTGACTGAAAGTCTCTTAGTCCTATGTGTCCTGGATGATGGTTCAGTGTTTGTGTTTCTGTACTTTAGTCCAGAATCATTTGATATTTGGGCCTTGACTTTTAATTTACTACTCCTACATAGCAACAATAGCAACTTTGAATTTGTCAGGGTTTATATGAGTTCCACAATCTAAGGTTATTGTGGAGTCTCATCAGGTTTTTCCTTTTCAACTGCTGCAGAGTTTCTCCAAAATCTCAGCACAGTATGCAGCAGACACCAGGAATTCACTGAGGTTAAAGATCACAATCACCCATGAATAGCTTAAATCTACAAATACTTAAAACCCCTTCTAAAAAAAAAAAAAGCTTAGAGCTGCCTACTTCATTAGTTTACACACCAAATATACCTTAATATACATTAATACACACAGTGGGAATGGTCTTAGCACGACCATAGAAGCTAACGTCTTCTGTACCACTGCTCTTGATGGAACTACTGATTAATGGCAGGGATAATGAATGGGGCTCCTGGACTGGCTGCTTTGTGGCCATGCTGTTTGAGACACCATCGGCACCAATAGCGTGTCGAGTTGCTGATGTTGTCTCCTCTGTTCTTCACACAGGATGCCTCCATCGCCCACCGCTTTCATATGATGAGAGAAAAACACCCTGAGAAGTTCAACAGCAGGTTAGTGGAGTCGATCTGGAGCATTGATACGGGAGTCCAAACTGCTTTTCATTTAATTTGGAGCACTGTGGAATGACGAGTCTCTGTCACTTTAACAGAAACTCGTCACTTCCTTTGTGTTGTCCAGGGTAAGCATGGCGTTTCTCAATTAAATATGAAATAAGGTTTCTGGTCTGGAAGTCTTGGGATGCAAAGTGAAATAGCACAAATGACACAAGTTGGAGATTTGAGTCATCCTAATAGCACAGAAGTAGCTTTAAATGGCCATCCGTGAGAGCAAGTACATGGCAGTCTAATTAAAAGTTATATAATGTTCCAGGCTGCCTGAGGAAGGTCAGGACTGAGAGTCATAGTGATCCATATAGAGGATGTAAAGAAATATCTGAGGAAGGATGAGCTGCAGAACATACAGTCACCCTGCAACAATCTGTCACAGCAGCGGCTTCATCTGGCGGCTAAAGTCACACATTTATTGCTCTGGTGTTTCAGACTAAACTTAAAAGATATGAAACAAAATGCTGTCATTTCGGACTTCTTGTTAACTTATATTGGTTCATTGGAGGACCAATGACAAATGCTAGATTTCTATATTTGTTCTAAATATTTGATCACTCTTACATATTTCTATATGTAATTGTATTAATCAGGTGGTGTCAAATTAAACTAGCCCAGACGGGGTTTTTTTTTTATCTTATTTTTGTTTTCAGTTTTATATTACAGAAACATTTATCTTTGCATAAAGAAACGTTCTGTTCCTATTGGTCCACAAATAATTTTATTTTGGAAATATTTAAAGGAAGTCTAATGTAAGTAATCCCCTTACACTCCAACTGCTCACAGCGAGCATGAGTGCATAACTTCACTTCCTATTTTACATTTAAATAAGCAGGAAATCATATAATGGCTTGTGAAAGACACAGCAGGCCAGAACGCAGTGCGTGAAATAAGATATTGCTTGTGTTGATCATTCAACCCACTAATGTACAAAAAGAATATATTGTTTTTAGCCGTTTGCAGTAGTTTTTGTTTTCAAACATGTTTCCTCAGTTTTATTCCGCTAGCTTTCGTTAACTATAATAACCCTGGACAAATCACCTGTCCATCGCTGGGCAACATACAGACAAACAATCCTGCACCCACCACCGTACAAGGGCCAATTAGGCAACCTGTTAACCTTGCAGTCATGTTTCTGGACTGTGGGAGGCGCTAGAGTACCCAGAGAGAACCCACGCTTGCACAGGGAGAACAACATGCAAGCTTACATGTAGAAAGACCCAGGTTGGGATTTGAACCCAGGACCTTCCTGCTGCAGGGCAGCCGTACAGTCCACATACAAAGAACACAGATAGATTAATGTTAGAACAAGCGCAGTTCAGTGAGCACCAGCTCAGCAGTTTTGGGGCAGAAAGCTGTGGATTCGACCGTTTCTCCAGATGTGCTTCTGCTGACAGCAGCAGTTTACTCTAGTTCATCACCTTAACTCACTGGTTTTCAACCATCCCAGCTTCAGATCCATAGGATAGAAAGTAAGACGTTCATAACTCTGACTCTTGGAGAAACACTAAAGGATTTTTGCAGAGTCAGTAAAGAATCAGTGCGGTGTCAACACAGCTAGCATCAACAGCCGATAGACTGACCAACATGTTGCTTTAGCTTAGTTTCCAGAGCTGATTTAAAAAAAAAAACTTTTACAGCATTTCTAAAATGCAGAAGCTTTCATCTTTGTTGCTATGTAGCTTAATTTCTAAGGAAACCACAAGACCCTAGACTTCCATATTCATGACCCCCCCAAGTGGGGCCTTGACCCCTGCTTTGGTAACTTCAGCTTTAACTGACCGCAGTTACAAAGTGCAGTCATCTTCCAACAGCAGAGTGAAATATTAGAGCTTGTTTTGAATGCCGGTGAGTCCCATAGGAGCCCGTTGTGTCCCATGTTGTCATGCAAACAACATGGAACACAACACATGCTGCTGTTTTCTTCACAAGTTAATTAGTCTGTGGAAATTAAAGGAGAAGAATGAGACAAGAGAATGAAGAAAAGGAAAGATCCGTAGTTTCTTCTTTAACTCAGGGATGAAAGCATGACGTGTTCTCTGCTTGGATCCACTAAACGGTTTAAAGATGTGATAAGGAGAACCTGTCTTAATACATGTAAGCCCACAGATTTAAGATGATAAGCTACAGAGCTCTTTCATTAATGAAACTGCTGCTAATGTTTACTAAACACACATTATTGACAGCAAGTTTCAGAAAACGGCACCAACCTCCTTCCGTACAGTGTTCTGTACAGTAAGCCAACACTGGCCCATTGTTCTGCCAATAGAACAGAGAGCTGACGGACAACTGTGACTGTTTTATTAAGACCCGACTGATGTTTTGGCTGGGAACGTTTCCCTCTGCTTTGACAGCGGTGTGAACTGAAACGAGTCAGTGTTCAGAAGGAGCAGCTCGTCCTCCGCGGGCGCACATGACAAATCACCTCTGACCCCTGAGAGAGGCCCACGGCTTCATGTAGCACTTAGCTTTATTGTCCTGGCCGTCACTCAGCGCTCCACGCTACCAGCATGGGGGCTCCTCACAGGCACTCTGCTGCTCTGCTTCTCACCCCCCTCCAGCGTCACCCCTTCCTCACCCCCGGGCCTGTTGGGACAGAAGGAGTGTGACTCCTCACACCCAGCCTGTGCAGAGAGCCACCGCACACTAATGACATGTCACATGGAGTCCAGGCTCTGTTTGATACAGCTTCTCATTTGTCTGACTGCAAGTGAATGCATCGGTTTTAATGGAGGAGGACAACATAGCTTAATATTAAACTGCAGAAAAGTATTTATTCCCAGTTGTTAATCGAGTATGATAACCTCTCATCAAGTTTTTATTTTACATTACAGACGTCTAATGCTCCCATCAAACTTTGGCGTATCTGTCTTGCGTTTCAGTGTCCTAGAAAAGCTTTGGTTGATAACGTCACCAAACACATCTGACACTAGCTGCATTTCCATTATGAATGTGTGCAAATCTGTGTGTTGTGCTAATGTGACAAAAAAAAAAAAATCGCAATATCACATTTGCGATGTTTCCATTAAGTAAAAATGGAAGTACAATCCTACGAGTATAAACCTGTTAACGCAATACGTCATTCAAAATCATGGCAGCTTCGATCGTCTTCGTCTAGCTGTTGATCACCTCATCTTAAAGCAAAAACTGTTTTGTCAAAAAACGTGTAATTGAATTTCAAAGAACTGGTGTGTTTATTTTTGTAATTTGAATTTGCACAGTTTTACAGTTAATGAAAATGCAGCTACTGTAAGTTACCCCACATGAACATCAACTTAACCAGTTTTAGCCATTACTTTTGTATGTGTCCATTGATTAACTAAGTAACTAAATTAACAAAATATAGTTATGGACCAAAACCTGAACCTTCACATAAAGACAGCTACAAAGTCGGCCTTCTATCACCTGAGGAACATTTCCAATATTAAAGGATGAATGTCCCTAGAAAAATTCATCCGTGCGTTTCTCTTTAGTCATATTGATTACTGCAACAGTGTCTTCACAGGTCTGCCTACAAAGTCAATCAACTATAGATGATCCAGAACGCTGCTGCTGATGTTCTCACTAAAACCAGGAAAAATACATTAAGTTGTTGTTGTTGTTGTTGTTGTGGTATCAACCTTCTGGACCATTCAGGTCTGGTTCTGGTCTGCTCTGCATCCACAGAACCAGAACCAAACATACAGAGGCAACATTTAGTTTTTAACCTGTCTGTCACTAGAGGACCCAAATTTGGGTCCTCTCGTGACAGGGGTGTCAAACTCCAGTCCTCAAGGGCCGCTGTCCTGCAACTTTTAGATGTGCCTCTGCTGCACCACACCTGAAAAGAATAATTAGGTCATTAGCAAGGCTCAGGAGAACCGATCTACACAGGGAGGAGGTAATTAAGCCATTTCATTCCACTGTTTTTTACCTGTGGAACATCTAAACACTGCAGGACAGCGGCCCTTGAGGACTGGAGTTTGACACCCTTGTATGACATTGTGAATGACAACCTGAGACCAACAGGTTAAGTTCCTCTAATCTGGAACAAACTTTCAGAAACTGCAAAAATCCTGAAATCCTGAATTCCTCCATATCAAGGCTAAAAACCAGCTTGTTTAGAGCTGCCTTTGATTCGCAATAACTGCAACATAATGGATGCAGTTAACCGTTCCACCCATTCAGTCAGAAAGTCATCACAACATCACTAATCTATTAACACTTTAACATCATTTTTACCAGCATTTCAATGAGAAATAGCTCCTATAACGAGCTCAGCAGATGTGCAGTTTCACCAGGTGTTTGCTGAAGTTCTCACTAAAACCAGGAAAACAAAATATAGTTATGGACCAAAACCTGCTGCTGCTGGCTAGCAATTAGCTAGTCAGCAGCTAATTGCTGCTGGCTAGTCTGAAGGAGCTCTGTGAGACGGGAGCTCAGAAGCTTGGAAGCTGCAACTCTCAGGAGGAGATGTGCATTGAAGGTGGGGCGAGGTCCACCCAGGTGTTTTGAAGGTTGCTATGGAGATTAAAGGATTTCTCAAACATGCATAACAAACTTAAGCCAACACTCGAGGTTTAATTTTGAAGGTAACATGATGAATACCATTACAACATGATGTAAAGCTATGTTGATTAAATTTGAGTGGTGTGATGGGAAGTTAAAGTCGAGAGGTGTTTTTTTTTTTTTTTTTCTGTCCATTAGAGCAACTGGATTTTCTGATTAACCGAATGTGAATTTAATTCCTGATCTTATCTCGTGTCACTTTGTGAAAAGGTTAGAAACTGAATATGAAGCTCTGTGATGTTTGAAAGTGAAACAGGAGCGTACAGACTTCCTCCCTCCCTGCACACGTTTAACCCCGTGCTGACGTAGCGCCCGACACAGACTCCTGCTGACGTCCAACATGGGGCAGAAATGTTAGCAGGCCTGACCCGGCAGAGCGGGTGGAGTGACCCGGCGCAGACCAGGTGCAGGACAAACACAGAGCAATGTGGAGCCGGCGTCTGGGCAGGAGGACAGACGTAATGTGCGTCTCCGTTCCATCAGGCTGTCAGTTTGTCTGCACAGCCAAGGCTCTGAGCGCAGTGTGTGGAAGACCGCCTTCCTGCACAGAAACCTGCCTGAACTCAAATGTGCATAACATTTTGTCTAATGTTCGAAAAAAAAAACAAACTAAACTTTACAATGGCTGTGTTTCCATTAGATAAGAAATGCAATTAAAATCACACATGAATGAGTTTGTTCACATGAGAAGTCATTAAACATGCCTCACCGTCATCCATCTATCACTTCCTGTCCTCCTGCTCTTTGTCGCCAGTGGCAACATGTTGATCATGTGACCTCCAAGCATTCTTGCCTTTGCAACCTAACACTGTTGGAGCAGTTGGACTTGAAAAGCAAACAAGCAGAAATGCAAAACAGCAATATTAAAAAACATAAACAACATAGACATCTCTGCTGACAGCAGTCATGGTCAATGGTCACATTTGTGATGTCGGTGCCGCATTATTTGTTGTGAACTCTTATGCGCTGACCTCTGAATCTCTGCTTTCCAATGTCCAAGGGCAAGTAAGGAAAATTCGCAAATCTCCACTTTGGTCAGAGTTTTTATTTTGCAGCATTTTTATTGATATTAACCAGAATTTACACGTGGATGAAAGGCCAAATTTGTCACATGAAGTGGGTTTGGTGATTAGCAAGAGTTGCGGTGGAAGCACAGGGTGAAGTAGAAGAAATGATTTAATGTGGTCAAAAATCCAGAAAAGCACTCGGACACAACAGAGAGGCAGGTGAGCGACAACACAGGTGGTTAAATACAGACACGGATAATCAGGAAACGAGGAACAGCTGGAACCAATAACGGTGAACAACACAAGGAGGGAAAATTAACCAAAATACAAACACTCAAATAAGATAATCACAAAATCTATTCAGTTTCATATCTGACTAAAGCCTAAACTTTACCTGTTGTGTAATATAGCAAAACAGAAAATGTTTCCTTCCCAGCAATGATTTCTTGTAAAATGTCCTTCATGGGAAGTTCTAAATAAATAAGACATTCTGTGTCTCTCTATCTTTTTATCTTCATTGCTTCATACAAGGTCAGCTGCTGGTCTAGGTTGGATATGTTTCTGTTATATATTCTTTTTTGTTTGTTTTTTTTTTTTAGAAGCACATACACAGAAATGGCGAATGATGAGCTGTTTATTTAATGACCGAGAGCGGCGGATTGGCATGCCGACTCTGCTGATGCTGGAAACACACGTGTTGCCATAACAGCCGTGTATGCTATGGGTGGCTCCACCTTGGAGGAGAGAACACAATCCTCAGAGCATGATCACGTTCTACAAGTGTCGCACCAAACGCCTAACGCTTTGGGATTGCGATGTAAACATTTGTTTTGTGTAATATATAACCACGACATCTTCAGCACAACTGTTCATTTTTCTGCCTCTAATTGCCCTCCTGTCTCTTTCACCTTAATGCCTCCCCAGAAAGCTGTGCTGCTGTCAAATCAGAGGATTAGAAGCATAGTTGAGATCACAATTAGGAACAGTTGTGATTCTCGGCGAGGCAAACTGCCTAACCTCATTAAGCCGCTTCCACTTGAGACCGTCTGTAAAAAATGCAATTAACTCATGTTTTTTCCCCGTCTCCTATGCACAGTGAATGCAACAGGGAGGCTTAAGCCATTCTGCCATCACTCCCATGTTTCTGAGCCAAAACTAATGCAAACCTGGGGCAATAAGGATCTTCAATAATCTTTCAAAAAAACACACCCAGTGAGAGGAATGATGCCTTAATCTCTCATTATGACCTTCCAGTGCAGAGCCCCTGGCTGTGGTTTGCCACTCAGTCCCAGAACACATTTGGTCTGTTAGGTTGCTCTGCAGTAATGCCTTGTTGTTGTGAAAACACTGCTCAGGTGCCTTAGCACAGCTTCATTAATCCCTTATAGGAGCTCTGACCTGATGACCTCTCTACCTTTTGGAACTCCCTCTTCCCCCCCCCTTCGTGGCTGTTGTGAAATCGGGGTCAGTGATCAAGAGTAATCCATACGGACATCAGGTTTAAGTTTACAAAAGGAAGCTTTTGCATTACATTGGAAACCAACCAACACTTGGCGTTACACCACAGACAAATGGAGAAACTGAGTCTCGCACGGAATAACAGACGAGTCATTTCAGGATCATCCAGTTGAACATTTAAGATTAACACTTCTCCTGTAAGTGAACAACACAAACTCAGTACCTTGCAAGATTTAGTAAACAACTATTCTTTTCGCATATTCTACTTTAAACCGAAAACTTAGCTGTGTTTAGTGGTAAAGTGGACAGAAAATGTAACATTTTAAAAAATTTTTACAGATAACAATCTTTAAAAAGCAGAATTTATGTTTTAAGCTCTCTTGACTTTCTACTTAAAGTGTACGTACATGTTTTAAATTCGTATTTTGTATTTTTGTTCTTACTGAAGAGAATTAAAAATAAAGTCTTGTGACTTCTGTTTGACCTTTGGTCAATGCTAACATTGTTTATGTACCAGGAGTCAGTGAGAGGTGATGATGTGTCAGCTATTGAGTCATTTCTCAGCGGGATATTTTCACCGTTACCTGAAATTACTGCCAAAGGATAAGAGGAGGAGACTGAGTACATTCTAGGAAATGGTAATTAGTCTTCATATAGTCACAGTTTTCAGGCAAGTAACCAAGGAGAATGTTTGACATTACCTTTGAAGCAGTAGTGTCCTGTCAGTTTTTCTTTCCTAATACCAATCACAGCCATTTAAAAACAGACTTTTGCGAACATAAAGTTCAATCTGATGCTTGAAAATGCTGTGACATTGTGTGCTTTCTTGTCATTTTTATTACATAACACTGACATGCCCAAATCTCCAGTTTTGTATTTCTGGAGAGCAACGGACGTTTTGTCCACACAATTGCCAAAAAAACTCAACTTTTTGCTACTGTCTACGGGGTTTTGAAGCCGACTGGTTTGCTGAAGCTACCAATAGCATCTGCCCTCTCTCTGTTGATACGACTTGTTGATCACTTGGTTTGTAACGCAAGTTCACACAGTTCAAGGAAAACTAAGTAAAACCCAAAATACGGATGTTATGCTTGTGCATTTCGTATTGGAGGGGATGTGATTGTTGAAGTCTAACGGCAAACTTTTTGGATTGGTGCTGATTTTGATGGCGATGCGCCACGGCGCCACAGACCGGAGACGCAAGCTGTGTAAATCGAGGGGTTGCTCTTTTACAGCGACTAAAATATTATCTAAGATATTAACAATTAAATATTCCCTAATGATAAACAAATACCAATGCCTTAGGTTAATGCCTAATTCCCTGCCTGGCAACCGTTTTCCTGCCCTGAATGACATAAATCTCAGAGAAAAAGCTGGTAGGTCTCCTTGGAACAGACAACACATCTAGCTGCTGATGTCCACATGTCCCTGGGTAAAAATAACCTGTTTCCTCTGAATCTGGTAGGAGTCCAGAGCCAGAGGAGCCTCTACTTTGTTTCAGCTCTGTAGAAGGGGGGGGTCGACCTGTCTGTCATTCATTATGGAGCTGCTAATGTCTCCATCTTTCCCACAGCAGAGACCTCCCAGGTCACATGACTCCCCTCCCTCACTGGGCATTCTGAGCTGTCAGAAAACGTGAGATGACCCAGAACCGTGACGGGCGTCTCTGTGACAGCTGTATACCAAATAACATCAGGGTCACAAAGCTGCACATGCAGGCTGAGTCGTCTCCTAACGCTCTGTGTCTTTCCCTGACCTGCAGAATGAAGAACAAGCTGTGGTACTTTGAGTTTGGCACCACTGAGACCATATCCGCCACCTGCAAGAAGCTCAACGAATGCATAGAGTTGGAGGTGAGTCAGAGTTAATTCAGAGCATGAGCAGAGGCTAAGTGAAGAAAGAGCGTTTTAAATAATCTGGGCTTGGTTCAGAAGGTCTCACAGTCCCGTCCCACCTACAGCTGTGGTTCTGTTCAGGACGGCCAGGCCAGGCTGATGTGATGGTTGGTTCATTCGCCAAAGGGGCGGGTCCTGAGATGAGTCATCTTCCTGACCTCTACCTTTATGTCCATCACAATTTATTTTCACCTATCAAATTATAAATTGATTAAAATTATATTTTCATTTGCATTTAGCCCTGTCCTGCACAGCGGTCACTACAGTGGACAGCTGTCTAAAAACCATTTTCTTATGAATTTTTATGTTATAAATGCACACAGACCACTGAAGTGGACACTAGTGAGTCATACAATACACTGCCAACTACTGGCCATCCACTGCAAGTGCAACCAAATTTTTGTTAAATCCAATATCACAGGCAGATAATAAAGCAACTCTTACAGTTAAAAATAATATTGTGACATCAAGTAACCCCTAGAAACTACTACTGCTGATGTATTTAGAAAAAAATTACAACTGATCACCTAGAAAGAAATTCTAGAAAAGCTTTCATTTTTTACCCTCCCATCTATTTTATGCCTCAAGAAAATCTAAAATCCTGACATAAAGGATCACAATTCATGTCTGGAAAGGTTAATTTCCTTCTGGTTTAAACAATATTCAAACATCTGAACAGAGGATCCACATCATGCTGCCACACAGCAGTCAGACGAACACATCCAACTACGACCAAGTAACTAAATATAAACAGCGAAACGAAACAACTGCAGTTAAAGTTTGAGCGATTCACCTGCCGTGTCCTGAACGCAGTCTCACCTCTTCCTCCTGGTCTACATGGAGCCAACTGTTCCTGTTCAGCTGTAGATGAAGTGAACTCACGGCTCAACAGCCTCATTTTTCCTGTCCTTGTTCATCTAAGAAGGCAGGATGCCATTTTGCCAATCTGTCACCGTAATTAGATCAACAATAACAGACAACAGACAAAATAATCATGTCAGCAGCACTGCGTCCTCTCTCATCCGCCTCCGAGGCAGTCTGGGTGTGCTTGTTGTTGCCTCTGACCCAGCTGGCACAGGTAGTCCATACGAACGCCATGCCACTCTATGTGCATGACTTGCCCTCACTTGCTGTATGAAACCTATTTGCTTCTTCCACCATTTCCTAACAAAGAGCTGCCACAGTTAGGCCCTGTTCAGCCTGATGAAGGTCAGAATCTGATAGAGGGCCTCGGTGCGAGGTTCCAATCGTGCAATTAAATAAACGTGGTCTTTTATTTTCTCTCCGAGCTGCCCACAGGCAGATTTACGCTCAGAGGTCCTTGACATTTAATTATGCAGAATAATTTTCCCCCAGAACAGGAGTGTAGTGCGTCTACATGTGAAATCAGGTCAGGTTGCCAATCAGAGTGTGGCTCAAGCTGCTGGGGCTTGTTTGTGCTCTGTCTGGTATGATCTGACACGCAAGAACTCAGAGTTCCATGCTAGTTCAAACCTGAACCTTCATACAGACTGGAGCTGCGTTTACACTACAAATGTGTGCAAAACTTAGTCAGGATTCAGCTAATGTTGAATAAACACCATTTCACAATTGCAGTGTTTCCATTAAAAGTGAAAGCTATTAAAATCACACGTGAATAAGTTTTGTTCACTTGATGGCATCCCATCGTCCTCCTACTACTTCCTGTCTTCTTCTTCTTCCCCATGCACCAGTGACACCATCTGGTTATTGGCCATGTGACTGGTACGATGTGAAGGAAAAAAAAAGGGTATCCATTACAGTTTTGCGAAATAAAACAATTTCGATACGTCCAAAAATACCCACCTCATCTTAGCACCAAAACTCATCAAAAACAAGTTTTTTTTTCCAAAATTGCTGTTTCCATTAAACACATTTATGTTTAAAATGTCAAAATGTGCAATTATACGGCTTATAAGGGTACAAAAAACACACCACCTTCACTATTTAAAATGAAAAATGATTACCCCTAACTCTATGTAATGGAGTACATTTACTTGAACCCTAAGTAAGCCTTGTTTTTCAGTAAATTATCTTTCTAGGGTATATCTCTTAGATTGCACAGTTCTGGTGACATGGTTCAGGCACTGATGGACACAATGACAGCAAAAGGTTGAGGACAAGCTCCAGTTTATTGGGGACAGTGTAATCTAGGTCAGACAGGTACGGGTCAGGTCTGTGTGTTCAAGTCAGGCTGGTGGGGCGGTTCCAGTCCTCAGGGTCCGACAGACAGAGGGTCGAAGCCAGAGAATCTGAACCCAGGGGGGGCAGGTCAGGATGGAGATGCGAAGCGGACAAGGAGGGCAGCCGGTCCAAGGAGAAAACAGACAGAGAGCCACAGACGGCCTGCAGGTGTTACAGTATTGGCTTTCACGACAAGCTGACGGCGTGCAGGAGGAAGAGCTGACCTTATATGGCGGCAAGCTGCAGATGAAGGTGATGATGATCAGGTGTGAATGGTCACAGATCAGCAGCTGTGACATCTGGAGCGTTTCTGGTCCAATCTGATTCACATCAAGACCTCAGTGATTTGGGACTTTTTTGTTTCCAGTGGTGGACAGTAATGGAGTACATTTATTTGAATATGATACCTCAGTGCATTTTTGAGTATCTTTACTTGAGCATTTATTTTTTGGAGAATTTATGACTTATCACTCCACTACATTTCCAGGAAGCTTGTTGTTACTCGTTCCTTTTGTGTGAGCGTAGCTTTATTCTCCGCTGTTCCTGTTCTCTTTCACTGAAATGCAATTATCCACACGCTGTGCTCCGCACAAGAAGATGGACCAATCATAGTCACCGCTCACACCTGGGATTTGGAATGACATCATCCTCATTAAGTGTGGCAAGCTTCTTAGCTCGATGTTTGTAGACTTCTATGTTAAGTTTGGTATTAGTTATAGATACTGTTGTTGATTTTGGGGAGAAAAAAAAAGGTGTTTTTTTTTGTTTGTTTTTTTGTGGAGTGGGGATGGGCAGAGTGGTTCTATATGACAGTTCATCATCAGGTGATTTCTGCAACTTAGAAAGTTCTGTGAAAACACTGATAATATTTTCTATTATCAGTCATGCACTGATAATAGAAAATATACTTTAGACTTTTGAATACTTAAGTATTTTCAAGAGTACTTTAGTATTTGAGTAAACCTTTAATGGTGCAACTTTTTTTTAAAGATTTTTAAAGATTTTTTTTTTTTTAAAGGAGGGGGCTTTGGTAGTCTTGAGGCTGAAGAGGATGGTGTAAATGATTCCTCAAGTGAACAACACCCACCACGCCCAGAGGAATGAGTCAGGGATCCAACTTCTTGACTTGACTGGGTACACCAGAACGTAACGAGAGATATCACTTGTAAACACAGAGACAAAGGGGTCAGAATCAGGGAACAGATGTAGACAGATGTGAGCTCAAGGTAAGCTGGTACCATAACTGACTAGCACTCTGGCAGAGAAGTGTCAGCAGCCTCCTCCACTTATATGCCTCCAGATGACTAGATGGAGGACAGGTGTGCAGCCGCTGACTCATCTCAGGCTCCCTCTAGTGGAGAAAAGCTGACAAAACCTCTGGATCCCAACAGTACCCCCCGCCCCCAACGACCGCCACCTGGCGGTCCAAACGAAGATGAGGGCAGGGAAGAACGATAGTCAGAAATTAAGGAAGGATCCAAAATAAATGAACCCGGAACCCACATCTGGTCCTCCGGGCCGTAGCCCTCCCAATCAACCAGGTACTGCCAGCCTCGGCCCCGACGACGGGAGTCCACGACCAGGCGGACAGTGTAGGCTGGATGCCCATCTATCTCACCGGGTGGAGGAGGGGGGTCGGAAGGAGGGCACAGTGGGCTGGTCAGGACGGGCTTAATCTGGGAGACATGGAATGTGGGATGAATATGGAGAGAAGAAGGCAGATGCAAGCGTACAGCAGAGGGACTGATAACAGACTCTATCTTGTACGGGCCAATGAAACATGGAGACAGTTTTTGTGACATAGGTTTCAATGGAATGTCACTGGTGGATAGCCAAACCTGCTGTCCCGGCGAATAGGTGGGAGCTGGGCACCTTCTCCGGTTCGCGAATCTGCGGTTCAGGTCAGATGAACAATTCAGAGCTGCTACTGCGTTGTTCCAGATAGAGCGGCACCGGCGGATGTGGTGGGTGTGGAGGTCTGTGGTTGTTTAATTAGGTCTGAAACCTCCCAAGTGACTGCGGCTACAGTAAAGCTAGGAGGTAAAATGGTGGCTGGTGTCTCCTTAGATTCATCAGAGGCGTGAAGACGAGACAGAGCATCTGGTTTTACGTTTTTAGACCCAGGGCGGTATGAAATGGTCAGATTGAAACGGGAAAAGAATAAAGACCAGCGGGACTGACCGGGATTTTATCTTTTGGCGGATTGAATGTAGGAGAGGTTTTTGTGATCAGTCCATACCAAAATGGGATGCTGGGCGCCCTCCAGCCAATGTCTCCATTCCGCCAACGCCAATTTTATGGCGAGGAGCTCTCTATCTCCAATGTCGTAGTTCCGTTCAGCTGGGGTAAGTCTGCGGGGAAAAATGCACAAGGATGAGTTTTCTGGTCAGATTCTGAACTTTGAGATAGTACAGCTCCCACCTCTGAGTCGGATGCATCCACCTCCAGGATGAACTGCTTGGAGGGGTCTGGTTGATGAGGATAGGCGCATTAGAAAACTTGTTTCTTAAATCTAACTTGGTGAAAACTGTGGCATCCTGAACCGGTTCGAAAGCCGAAGCTAAAAGGGGCAACGGGTATTTGTTCTTGATGGTTATTTGATTTAACCCCCGGTAATCAATACAGGGTCGCAGAGAACCGTCTTTCTTACTTACAAAGAAAAAACCTGATCCGAGTGGAAAAGAAGATGGTCGGATGATTCCTGCCGCCAGAGACTCGTTGATGTAATTCTCCACGGTCTCTCTTTCAGGTTTGGAAATATTATAAGGCCGACTATTAGGCAGTGGTGCTCCAGGGAGGAGGTCAATAGCACAGTCATAAGGGCAGTGCGGAGGGAGAGAAAGGGCACTAGATTTGCTGAACACCGGAGCCAAATCATGATAGTCTGGTGGAATGACAGAGAGATCTGAGGGTCTGCCTCCTGACGATTTGCCAGCGACTGACTTGGAGGAATGGCAGGGAATGGACCAAGACTCCACTTGTTTCTTTGACCAGTTGATATGTGGATTGTGGAGTTGAAGCCAATCAAAACCCAGAACTACAGGTGAACTAGCAGCAGGAAAAACAAAAAATATTGTTTCCCTATGATTACCAGAAATCAAAAGGTCTAGGGGTCTGGTCTGGTGCGTTATGTGGGG